TCTTATGGAGCTGAAGGTGAAGAAGGGTCAAAAAAAATTAATTTTCATGAAAGACTTGCACAAAATATAAGGGTAATGCAACAAAACAATGACAGTCTGTTTGAAGGTATCAGTAAAAGAATGCAGGAAGATGACATCGATACTCCAAAGAGAAAAACATCTGCTTTGATTTTTAAGGAAGCAAAACAAAGTACTTCAGAAAAACAAATTAATCACCCGTTAACTTCCGGAACAAACATGCTGCGTAATGAAGCTCATGGGGATAATGTGTCTCTATATGATCTTGCCATGAATGTCAAAGGAGTAATACAATCTGAGAGATCAAAACTGTCTGAAGTTCAGACTCATAAGAAGCATAAAATAAAAAGTGCAAAGGAACATGATATGAGTTTATTAAAATTGGTGGAGAAATGGTCAACCAAAGAAAAAGTATTGAAGAGACCAAAAACATATGAAATTACAAATAAGAAAGCCAATGTACAAACCAAACAAGAAGTTCCTAAAATCTATAGATTGCCTCCTTTATCCAACCCACCCAAATGCTGTTTGCAGAACAGGTTGGAAACTTTAATGTTTGTTTGTTTGTATATTTTTTTGTTTGAAAGTTGAATTTTCATTCAAAAAAAAGTTCTTATGTTTTGGTAGGTAATATTTTTTCACAAATTTTTTAAATATTTTTTAAATTTCAGTCTAAAATTAAAGAGAGGTTATAGAATTAATTTTTCTGTCTTCAATTGATGTCTCAAGTTGCTTATAAAATAATATTTAGGTTTGTCTTGATTATTTTCAACTAATAATGAGTGGAATACGAAACTGAATGTGATGACAATATACCAGCAGGTATGAAACCTAAATCAACAGTTCATCTTAATGAAATTGTGGAACTGCTAAATGCTTTCACTAAGACATTTTTATCATGCATTCTTTTATATAAAATAGTGAATTACTAAAAATAAATAAATAATAATGAATTCAATAATAAAATTGATTTAAAAAAGTATTTATTGATGAATGTTTTATATTCTATGTTAGGTGAGATTTAATTCAAGTATTTGTTTTACATTTCAACATCTGGTCACATTTGTAACTTTTAACAAATATTTGCAAATATGTTTCCGGATTTGCAATTGCCAACTTCTGTTGCAATCCCATAGATATGTAGCAGAAATAATAACATTTCTTTGAACAGTCAAATATCATCTGTAACCTAGTATTTATACATTTCACCATCTGGTCACAGTTGGAAGTTTAACAACTATGTGGAAATATGTTTCCCTTTTCACTGTTGTTGACTGCTGTTGCAACCATATATGTACTAAGCATGATGTAATTGTTATAAATTACATTTTGATTGTTCAGAGAACAGGTCCCTGCAGTAACAGTCAATTCTTTAAACAGCCAAAGCAAATTTTATAACAAAATATTTATGTTAATGAATTTATATAATGAAAAAGGAGTGATTGTAATAATTGTTTTTTATAAGACAGATACTTTTGGGGTTCAAGTTCTGACAGGAAGTAGGGTAATGGTTCCATCTGCCTTGTGAATTGCTGTTAAAATGTCAAAAGTAGGTCCTGCAAATTGCATTGCCCTCAAACTAGTATTTGGGGAAGATTTAGTTGTTCAGTTTATGTAGTTGCTAAATTTAATTATTTTCTTGTTGTCCTACAAAGAGTATGTTCTTCATTTAAATTGCCCTACTTTCTTCACTTAAGAGTAGATATTTCTTTAATTCTTAAAATAAATTGTCAGTAATGTGCCTTCTTGAATATCAATGACTAAGTAATGCAAAAATTTAAACATCTGATATTGTTACAACTTACTGTTTGTTTTTTGTAAAGAATATTTTTACCGTGAGTGATGAGAACTGTTCTTTCATTTTGAATTGACAAGGGCATATAGAAGGAAGAAGACAGGACCTAAAATCAAATCCAGTGAGTCCCCATTATCAATTGACAATGAATCAAAGAGAAGAGTCAATAATGTCCCTTCATTCCATAACTAGTCTGAGATTGTATTGTTAAGTACAAAGATACCCAATGCTATGAATTGCATACAAAGATAATTTTGAAAGCAAAATTTTATGATTAATTATGGTAAATGCATAAGAAGATCTAAAAATATTTCAATAGGTGCTTTATTTTGATGTATTGATAAAGCAACATCATCTTTAAGAAAACAAAATAAGGCTTTTTCCAAAGATTTTCTATTTTCTAAACCCATGTTGAGAAAGGTTTCCATTTGTACATAGTAAACTCTCTCTAATATGTTTGAAAAACTGATGAAAGAGAAAATGGCCCTTCGGTTTTGCGCCTCTCTCATCCCAGCTGCTATCTATTGGGGTCTAAAAGACCTACCTCTCTGCTGTTCCTCTTGTGACATTCCCATTGGAGGCACTTTTACACTCCCTGAACATCGCCTACTTCTACACCTGGTCCTGTTCCTTATGTATTTGCCCATGGTACTGCTTAGTGCCAGCACAGTCCTTACACAGAGTACACACAGTTGCCCATGCCACGAACACATTCATGACTTATGCATGTTTCTTATTGTCCACATACTTGGACTTACTTGCCTCAAGTTCCTTTCTTATGAGAATGAATCTCTTTATAGTAGGCTACTATTTGTAAACATTGCAGTTTTGTAACATAATGATATTGTGACTGAAAATATAATTGAAACTGACCTTCTTGTACACACACAGCCTCTAATGTTCTTTGTAGCATTCAATCTATGCATTTTAATAACTATGACACCAATTATTTCCATAGAAACAATTCTCAAAATTACTTTAGCATCGAAAGCTTTCAACACAACACTGAGTTATAAACAATTTTCTCAAAATAAACTAACTCTACAAAATATGTGTTTTTTTGGTCCTGAAACAGTAAAATTGAAAAATAACTTTATGAATATTATGTTAGAAAAAGAGTAAAATCTGGAAGTATATGCAAATTTCATTGAAAAATTTGGAGCCATTTTTGAGAAAAGGATTGTCCATGTGTTTCTGAAAATGCACAATCTTGAATTAATTTTCACAGAAAAATTTTGAGTTTCCAAGAAACTTTATCAGAAATCGTTTGAATCACTTGTTCTCACGAATGTAAAAATGTATAAAAAGCCCATGTAATGTAAATATTAACAACATAAGAGATATTAAAAAAAATGTTTTTCAATTTTTGAAAAATCAGAAGAATACATAAAAAAAAGTGTTTATGTCATATTACTCTGTGCATTTTTCACTATCCATTCAAAAAGTTTAAAAAAAATGTTTGGCCGTTTTGAGAAAAACTTGTTTTTATTATTGTGGGCTGACGGATAAAAATGTACATACATTCCATCCACATGTGTGATAAAACACAACATATTTTCAAGATGAAGGGACCTCAAAACTTGCAATTCAGTAAAATCTCAAAATTGATTTTCTGCAGCATTTCTCTTAAACTACATGTACTTTGTATATTCATATCATTACGAGAAAGTAAAAAGTATTGATTGAAGAGACTAGATACTGTTGCAGGTAGTACCTGCAGTACTATCTGTACCCATCGGTGGCCCCAAAAATAAATATATGTTTTTGATTCAAGAGGTCATGACATCAATCAAAACAATCAAAGAACACCAGTTTTACTGAAATTCCTTTAGCCTTTGCCATTATTTACAGTTAGTCAGACAGGTATGTTGCTGTGAACCATTTTTTCAGTATCAAGGTCCCACAGGTGGATTTTGATTACTTTGCATATAAGAAGAAGTAATTTACTATATTTAGGAGCAAAACATAATACCTTGCTTGGTGTCAAGAACCCCCAAAACGAGATTGTCTGAAAGAAATCAGTTTTTTGCTGCAGTATTTCGTAACTTTATCTGTTTGTCCAGTGGGGAAAGACCATCACAACCTCCCAAGCAAAAAAACATGCACTACACTTACGAGGTTAATGACCATTGTAGTTGATGCTCAGAATCACTATCAATAAAGCAATCAAAATTGAAGTTTGTATCAAAAGCATTCTAAATCCCATCCCAAAATTCCTACAGTCTATTAAGTAATTGCTGAGTCTATGTTTTCTTCACTTTAGGACTAAGTTCCCAAGAGTTCCTAAAGGAAGACTGACACAAAAATCTACTAAATTGAGATTAATGTTTAGAAGGGCAGTGTGAGTACATACTCTGTTATTTGCACAAATTGCACCAGATTATTCTTGTCATAAAAAGAGTGGTTCTCTGAACACTTTCTGAAATGAGAATAAGTTAAAACACTTTAACTTAATTTTTACTCGCTTTCCTTCTATTCTTGTAATTTCATACAAAAGTGCACTGGAGTGTGTTATTTTTTTCAACTTATGTTTTAATGATTTGCTTCCTGTATATGAACTTTGTCAGCACTTTTTAGGTATTATCACAAGCACTTGAATTTTTTTTAAAATTTAATAATACTTTTTGAAAATTGTTTATTGCGAATCTCTTGTACTGCACCGTATTGATTTTGGAATTTCACTTTAAAAAACAGCTTAAATATCCTTTCTATTTGCTTGTGAGGCGTGATATAAAACAGCAAACTTTGAAATAATTTCTTTGTATAAATGCCAGATTTTTTATTTATTGATTTATTTTTATCAAGTGTTTAATCTAGTTTGAAAGTAATTGAAACAATGTTCTTTTTTATAAGCAATAAAAAAATGTATCTATATAATCAACTTCAGTACTTGTGTATTCAATAAAGTAATATTTGTAAAAACATTTAAATTGCACCAAAATGTAAAGTAACATTAAGTAGGGTATAAATGTTCTTGGAAACTGTTATGAATGAAAAACTGCAACATGTGTAATTACCTTTTTCAGAAATAACGTCTGATAAAACAACTACTCTCCCTGTATTGTGTATTTTTTTATTTTTATTTTGTCCCAAGTGCTTTCTAGAAAAATGTTTAAGGAAAAAACAGATATGTTGAAATGTGATTACTTTTACAGAATAATTTGTGTCATTGTATGATTGTTTTCAGCAGCAGCTCTGAGGAAGTTTATGACCCATACGTGTCTGCAGAAAGGCAAATGATGGAACTACTCTCTCAGGGTGACTTTACTCAACTTTCACCTCGGCATAATAAGAGCATTCCCTCTTCTCACACAGAATCAACAACTGTTTTTCCATCCTTTGAATCCTCACATCGATCTGCTTTTGTTAGGTATAGTCCTCCTGACCTTTCTCATCTTTCTAATGAGACTGTGATTCCTCCATCTTTAATTGCTGAATTTGAGGACCTTTTTATGGGAAGCCAAAAATCAAATTATATCAATGATTTTTCTGATGTTACCGATCAGCAGAATCAAAACGTTCATATCAGTCTCTCAGATATTGGACAAAACCTGTCCAACAACAATCTTGATACTGTACAGCCTGTTAGAAAACCATCAAAAATTCGTGCCAAAATGGAAAATGCAGCATTGTCATTGCAGCGTTCAGTTTCACTAATGAATTATGAAAATGATATGAAAGTTGGAACTGAAGCCAGTAGTTTAATTCCTTCAGATGGAGATAATAATCCTTTGCCTACTCTTACAGAAATTTCATCATTTCCCTTTTCTAGTCCTGAACCTCCTCGTGTTTTCTCATCCTCAAAATCCCATCTTGAAAAAGGTGATGCTGATAAAAGGATAAATGAAGAAGCATTCATGCTAAAGTCAGAGTCTTCTATCAGTAATGAGCTCTTCACTCAACTAAAGAGCCATTCCGCTGGTGGAAAATTCAGTGCTGATTCAGCATATGGAAGGTAAAAATAATTCAGTTCCTGTGAGTTTATTCTCTATTGAAAGAATTTTTCACAACTGTCTCTATCACTAGTTTGAATCGTCGTTCTCCAACCCATTCTACTGGCATGCAGATGCCTGGTAAACATGAAGAGATGGAAGGAGACCGTATGTGTTTCATGAGTTCCAGCAGTTCTGAATCATCCCTGCCACCACTTTGCTCTGTTCAGGTCTGTAATACATTTATTAGGCAATGAAAATATTTTTCTTTAAGAATTAATTGTACTCAGGTGAGTTCTTTCATGTGGAAACTAGTGATGCTAAAACGACACATATTTTCACCACCCTATATCACACTTAGTAATACAATTTCTCACCAAATTAATACATTTTGGTCATACATTTTTTGTAAAACTTGTTACACATCGTAGAACATTAGGTGCAAAAACTAAATATTTTCAAGCAAATATTAAAACAAATTTGACATTTATAACTGTCTTTCATACAGCTAAATCATGTCTCAACAATGAAACATAATTCACAGAACTACAGCGACTGCCTCATGGGATGGAATGCCATTGTTGCATTCAAATCTGATATTTCCTGAAGGGAAGCAATTTTTCTTTCATATTACATTTAAATCGATTTTAATAGGCTGGGCTAATTTTAATTAAGGTTTGCGGATTACTTAAAAGAAAATACGTCAATACATTGATAATGCAAATACATTCCTCACAACACAGACAAAAATATGGATTATCAAATAGGTTTTAAATGATTTCTAAAAGATAAATTTGTAATCTTATAACAAAAGCTTGAATGTAAGAAACGAACAAAAAAAAAAAAAGTGAAATAATATACAAAACTTGCTATGCTCACAAATTATGTTCACGAAGCACAGGAAATTTGAAGCGAGCAACTACGTTTGACACCACATTACAGACAAATTAGTTCTTCACAATTGTAACAAAATTTTTAATTTTTTCAATTTTCGAAAAATTCGAAAGGATTCGAAATTCGAATTTTCGAAAGGATTTTAATGAACATGAGACCTGCACCATTCACTTAAGTACCCTGAATGCTAAGGTAAAAATTTAATCAAAAAATTCTGCCATTTTTAAGGAAAAATGGCTTAAAGAAATTATAAATTGCCTGTTGGACACAAAATTTTGCATAAAATACTCATATTTTCAAAAAATTGAACATGACATTATTTGAAGATCTATTTTTGATGAACACATTTCATTAAGAAACTAGAGGTGTTACAACAGCACATACTCTTGCAATATTGGAAATATATATAAATAATATATATTGAAATATTGCATTTTCTGTGCTAGTAGCACTTCAGGTATTACTTGAAAATGTCCAATTTAACCAATTTAAACAAAGTGCCTCTGGTGCATATCTGCATTCATTTCAATAGTCAGGGGCAGCAATTATTTCTTACTTTGACAAATGAAACGAACAGGAATAAATTTGACTGTTTATTGCTAAAACGCAACATCGCTGGCAGGTGGCCAAATGCAGCTGACAAAAAGCAATGTGTTTATTATGTAAAAATATAAAATAAATCCCTATGTTTTGGAAACCCTTGTTTCATTTTCAACTTACAAAATGTTCACCCAAAAAGCAAACCAACTTTTTATTAAAACGAAGGGATAATCGACGTCTTCCTTCATTGCTTCATACTCTTTTAATTTTGAAAGTCTTTATTGTGGAATGTATTGCTGGTGACATGCTGAAATGTGCATGAACTTCTGTTCAGTGAAAATATATGTGTTGTATACCTCGTAACTCATTTCGAATCATTTCTAAAAGGCTAATTTGTAAACCCAAGCTCGACTAAATAAAAAAGCTTTATCTTATTACCGACACCATCTCAACGTTCAACAATGAGCTTCTCAAATATCGATTGTTGCATTGTTGCGCAATTGCAATTAAGTTTTGCTTGAAAGAAAGAAAGCTTGAAAGAAATACATCATTCCATTGAGAATACAAATTGTAGAATAGAGTAAAAATATAATTAATATTGGCTTTGACAATAGTAAATTATAATTAAAATTAAATTAATTAATTTTGTATCCTTTGGATCCATTTCTGTTCTCCGAGAATTTTTCTCGAGGTCCTTAGTGGTGAGACCCCTGTATATACTTCATTATTTCAAGCAGAAGTTTCGAGAAAACAAGTAGTTTTTTCAAACAAATGAACATCACTTGCTTTAATCAGCTGATTTTTAAAACAGACTTTGTCAGGGCAAAATCTCTATCTTCCTTTTTCTTCAACAATTTTTGAAAAAAATGAGCAATACTCTAAAATTGGACTATTTTTTACTGTCCCTTATGTGGAGAAATTTTAAAGAAAAAATTTGGAGCTGTTTTTGAAGTAGAAAAAAATTGTCTATATTTTGAGCAAAATTACATGAAATATTTTCATATTGTATTTTCTAAACATTGAACATGACCTTATTTCAAGATGTCTTTAAGAAACAGATTTTTTTTTTTTGGAAAAAAAATTCTATATCAGGGTTTTCCAACTGGCGGGCTGCATAAGGCCCACAGATCCATTTATTGTGGCCTGCGAACGGTTATTATTCAAAAGTGAAATTCTCTTGCATGCACGTCTCGCGAGAACATTGCGCGCCTCATGGCCAAACAATGCGCGTGCTCTGTCGGGGTCAATATCCCATTAATTTAAAAACAGGTTATGCTTAGATTTAAGCATTTTTTCTAGTAAATTCAGAAATTCAAAATCTTCTCAATGTGCTTCCCTGTGTGTTGCATAGCCCAATATCATAGATGGTTCCATCCTCCCTCCCCCCCCCTGTTTCATAGCAAATGTAGAAGCCAAGATCAACAATACGGAGAAGTTAGATGTGGATCGCCCGAGTAATGTAAATATGGTCCGCAACCATATTAAAGATTTTTGTTGTGGCCCTTGAGGACTTGCAGGTTGGACATTCCTATTCTTCTTCTTCTTCCAATAGCATTACAGCCCATTATGGCCTGAGTTGCCTTCACAATATACGCCATTCTCCTCTTCTCTCTGCCTTTCCCCACCATCTTCATCTTCTTCATATCTCCGCCCACATCCTGGATTCTCCTTGTTCTTGGTCTGCATCGTCCTCCTACTTCTCCTGTTATATACCATTGTATAAAATATGGAGAAACGTATGTTGTCAATTTTATATTTTTGCAGAAAGTAACAGTGTCACAAAATATGGGTGACACACAGTGAACTTCATGCATCAACAATACTGATTACTATAATTATATTTGGTTAAAGTTCAGATATATATCCATTTGCATATTTATTAATTTCTGCCTTTTTCCCAAGACATACTGTGGTAAAAAATGATGAAAAATAATCCAGTCCAGTTGTCTTCATCTACAGGATATTTTATTTCACTGTTTTTTTCAAACACTTGTAAGTCAGATTGTTTATCAATTTCACAGCAATTTTAAAGAAAATAAAATCTCTTGAATTTGAGAATACTCACCAATAGAATCATTCGAATGAACAAATGTTTCTAATTCATTTTGCTCGGGAAAGGTTTTGTTTCTGCACAGCAGTTTTCTCACTATTTCTGTTTCACTGTAATATTCATAAGGTTGTGGATGTAGTGAGTTGAAGTTCTGAGGATAGTTTTAAGTGTGTGTTGAAGAAAAAATCTCAATTTTTATTACAAATTAAGAAAATTATGCCAGCCCTGCAATAATCCCAAATTAGGCTTTTATAAACCTTAGCGTACCAGCTTGTCAGCTGTCAGAATTGTAATGCACTCGCTGTTCACCACAATAAGGCCCAATGCACTTCCGAGTCTTTAACAGCACATTGTGGCTTGGAATTGCCCATTATCTGCAGTGCTGGGGTGAAAAAAAATTGTTAAAACACTGCAGGAATCTATGCTTCTGAGACCAAAACTGTAAAGGAATTATTTATTGCTAACATCATGAGAAACACTCTAGTGACCCACCTAAAATGATCCATCCTGTATAACTGATATAATTTCATGTTATATCAATAAGTTATTCAACTCTATAACTTACTTCAACTCTATAAAGAAGTGAAAAGACAATGGAATTTGGTTTTGAGTTTAATCGCCTTAGATATTAAAAAATCAATTGATATGTGAATTTTGTGTCTAATATTTGTTACAGGTTGTTAAACGTGAAGCTAGTAATCCTTCACTAAGTCCTTCCCCACCACATGCAGTAGATGCTAGTCCAGTATTGCAGTCTGCACCAAGAATGTCAAAATTTTGCCATGAATGTGGCTCTAAATATCCAGTATCTTTAGCGAAGTTTTGTTGTGAATGTGGTGTCCGAAGACTTGCTATGTAACTTATCTCATGTAAATTAAAAGTATTAATTCTGTGTTTTAGTGTGTTAAATGTTATATTTTAAAAAGCTGGACAGTTTTGTTTATACATTGTTTTTCATTGTTTTACTTTATTTTATATCATAGCAAATTAAATAACTAAATTTGCTGTAAGTTTTTAAACGTTTTTAGTTTGAAAACAAAAAAAAAAACATTTTGTTAAAAATTGTATTGCTTGTTATTGTGTTATAAACAAGCTCTTCTTTATGTGTGAAGTTAGCAAAACTATTGTTGGTAATGACAATAATTGATTAAGTTACCATTGTTACTAAAATGTCTCAAATGAGAAATAACTTGAGAGCTTACAAAAATTGTGTCATATTTATTTAATATCATGTTTCCACTGTAAAACTCTTCAAAAGCAAAATGATATAATAGATGAAGGTGGCAGCAGTAATTAATTAGTAACATGTCTGTTTTGTATAATTTTTGTTGTATTTTTTATATTTTTATATATTTATATATACATACAAATTTATCACATATTAAAATCTTTACATTTCTTGTTTACCTTATACTTGCAAAATAAGTTTGTAATTGCTGTTTCAGTTAGAACCTAAGTTTCAACATGGTCTAACCGCTACCTGAAATTGCTAATTATTATTATTGTATTTAAGTTGACAGTCTGTCAGATAACGATGTGAAAGGAGATAATTAGGCTTGCACAAATAGTTGCCATAAGAAATAATGAGAAGATTTTATTGAACCCAATTCTGTCCTCTTTTTAGCTTATCTGGAAGAAACTTGATGAATTCACTTTATTACATTTTATTATTTTGTGGAAAAATACATGATCTATTGAAGTGTGGGATGAAGTTCACATATTACTGAAGCAACAAAGAAGCAAAATAATTCATTCCAACAAATTAATTCTTTTAGAATATTAAACCTGAAAAATTTGTCCGTTTTTAAAGGGCAATATGTCATTCCTATTTTAATGTCCTCCCATTTTGAATGAAGAAATGTATGTATAATGTTCGAGATGTTCATCCATTGCTCATGGCATTCATGTTTAAGCAATGTCCAGCATTTTTAATGTAGTTCTCTCAAATTTCATCTACATTTCTAATTGCATTTTTTATAGTGTAATTCCTGTTCAAATCTTTTTTAGAATAAGTACCTCTTATATATTGCATTACATATTCATAAAAATATGAATTATTTTTATAATGGTATGTACTGTACTATGAAGAATGGTTATGATGAATATCGCAGCATTTTTGTCTTGTATTGTTATGGAATAATGTATTGTGATGTGAGAGTGGTTTTAATGTTGTGCATAATTGCTCTGTAAAGTTTCTTTCCTGTTGAAAGAGGAATGAAAGATATAAACCATATTTACATGATTATAAGTGAACCCAATTTTGAAGAGATCTCCTAGTCATTTTTTAGTAATTATTACTCTTCAAATTCATAAAATTGCTACTTGTCTTATTGTCTTGAAACTTGATCCACATAGATGAGAAAGATAAAATTTTTGTACCTGTGCTCTGACTATTTTCCTGATTTTTGTTGTATTTATCATTATTTTTGTCACTATCTTAATCTTCATATGTATCAGTGCTATTTTCTTTCTGACCCTTCTTCCATACTAGATCATCCTCAAACTTTTTAGAGCCCCTCTGAAAATTTTGTGCCTTGAGATAACTTTCATCAGACAACACCTTCCCTTACATGACTCCAGATTTTCTTTCTGCCACACTCTTTCTTGTTCATTGCTTCTCATTCTTTTATTGCCATTTAATTTGAATTTCACATATTAATATGTGAATGTAAGACAAGCCCATATTTTGCAAATGTGATATTTAGGAAGAAACCCATCTTATATTCGGTTAGTTAATGTTCAATTTAGTCATGTTACATTAAAATAGCATGAAACTGAACTTTATTGTGAAATAAAAGTTTGCTTAGTCATTACTAAAATAAAGATGGGAGTGATACAATTATCATTAAATATGCTGGACAGTGTTTGAACTATGGTTATCTTGTTCACAAAGGTAGTATTTAACTTATTGTGATTCTTTTTGTTGATTGAACTGACCAAAGGACCAATAATTTTTATCAATGGACCAACCTGTCAGAATAATTTGTAGGTGCTATTTAAGTAACTGGTGCCATTACTTAACACAAGGTGCATTTAAAACTATTAATGTAGTGACTAATGTATATGACAATCTTTCTGATTTTTAATGAAAAATTGCATTTAAAAAATCATTGTGTACTGTAATTTTTTGTAGTGATTATTCTTGTTTTATTCTCTAAAATGTTTTTTTAATGTTAAGACACATTATTGGAGATTTCAGGAAGTAAAATAGTGAAGGCTTTTACAATGGAATGAGGATCAGTTGTATGATTCATTAGGAAAACTGTTCTTTAATTTAATTTTACATTGATTTAATTGAATAAGTGATTAGAGCAATAGTTGCTCCAGATGCAAAAATACATGATGCACACAAATTCTCAATGTTATTCAAGAAATAGCAATAACAGATTTATTAATATTTTATAATTCAGTGTGGTAAAAGTTGACATTTCAGAAATGGTGTAGGTGGTTTTACGTAATTAAATTAAATCATTTTTATGGTTGGATGCACTGGAATTGAATTTTATTTTGTACACTGAAAAGTAATTAACTCCACAGTTTTTGAAAAGAAAACTGAACAAGTCAGTTTGAAAATGGAATTTGAAATGGTTTTATTTTGTCGAATATCAAAACATGATAAGAAGAAATACAAATTATTTGAAATTAATTCTTATTTTTAATATTAATACCTTAGAAAAATTGAATTAATTAGACATTTACTATACATTTTTTAACTCTCTAAAACCCAAACATTGTAGATGCCTCACTTGATCCATATTGTTGATATTTTGTTTGTTTGTTGACTAATAATGACACTAACGTGATTCCTGAAATTTCGTGAATTGCCCTTGTGTATTTTTGTGCCTGAGAGACAGAACATGTTTCAACTTGACATGTTAAACTTCAAGTAATTTTCTCTACCATGAGATTATTGAAAGATGTCTATAACTAATATATAGTATTACTAAATTATATGCCAATTACAGACAATTTCTGTAAACTACATATAATGATAAAAGGTATACTTAATGTACATCTTTAATTTGACAAGTATGTATGAGGTGTTTTGATCTGGAAAAATGAAGGAGTGTGATTATAGATAATTTGTAACAAAATGTACTGAACTTCAGATCTGATTGTTATGAGTGTATTAGTAATATTAGCATCTGGTCCCTGAAAGAAGTGTGTCTTATACAATGAACTAATTTATTGTTTTACATATTGTTTTTTGTATTAACTGTATTTTAATAAATTTTTATATACAAAAACTTCTCAATGTTATGTTATTTCTCTATTCCATTGTTTTCTGTAGTGTTGCTAAGGTTTTGTTACATCAAGTTATTAAAGGAAGTGTGGTAAAGTAAAGGTTATAATATTAATATTTATAAAAAAATATTGTAAGGAGGTAAATATTCTATGCATTTAAAAGTTCACAATGAATTTACTTTCCAATAAACCATTTTTCAATTTTGTGTAATGACTCATTTTTGTACTCCAGATGCTGCTTCCTAAGACAAGTAAAATGAAAAATGTTTTTTATTATTTTGCTAGAAGGTTTGCTAAAGACACTAAAGACTGTGCTAAAGGAGAAGTAAGTATTGACTGAAGTAAAACAATTCAAGAAAATATCATTAAGGTATCTTTTTTTTAACCAAATATACCTCTGTTTTTGTTTTTTTTATGTAAATTCTGAACTTGATAATAGCCCTTCAGATATTTACTTTATTGTTATAATAACAAATTACAATAGTTTATATCTAATTATAGAGAGAAAATAGTAGATACACTGAATTGGCCAAATTATTGGACTATTAGTTATTAAATTAGACAAAAATGTATTTGCAATCATATATCTCAAAAGTTTACTGTGTAAGCTTATTAGTATAATTAACATATTTGATGTGAGAAATGTTGAAAATCAATTTTGAAGCCATTCTTTCAATTTCAGAGTCTTTTTGCCAGATGTAAGTGATTTTTTTATGAGCTAGTTTTTATGGCTTTCTTTTCTTTAGTTTCTTTTAACTATAGATCAAACATTTTCTATGGGTTTTATGTGAGGGCTATTTGTAACCCATTGGAGCAGTCTGAACAATGTTATGATATTTTCCATCGTTCTTTCCTATTGTGGCATGGGGAGTATGCATAAATGTGCATGGAGTTTTCCAAATCACTGATTTATTCAAGGGAACCGTTGGTTCTTTAGGATCTTTAGCTATTGGTCATGCCTCATTAGACCATTAACTGTATAAACATATCTAACACCATTATCAGATATTATACTTCAAGGTGATTCTTTTGTCAGGTGTTTCCCTGGACACAAAATCCTTTAAGTCTAGGAAAAAATATTTAGTCTATTAATTTGACTAATTACCAGAACAAAAATAATCACATGCTCTTGAGACAAAGTTATGAAAATCGAGTGAAATTATTACTGTGTAATATCTGAGTCTTTTTTTGGCTTCACAAAAGCAAAAAATTGAAAATATTCCTTTGTTGAGCAGTATTAAAACCATTTGTAAATTAAAAATAATTTTTAGTTGTAGATACCCATATCACTGCAAAATATTCCTAGAACAATCCATAAATTTTATCTTCATTGAAGGAGAAAGGAATGTGACACCAACACCATATAAAATAAAATGAAAGTTAATAGAACTCCTTGAATAGTCCCCTCCCTTTGCCTCATCCATGGCTACACCACTGATAAATTGTAAAATATTGTTTTTCAGAATGTAGGGAGCTACACTGTGGTAGAACATAAATATGATGCAGTTGTTGTTGGAGCAGGAGGTGCAGGACTTACAACTGCTGTTGGTTTGGTGCAGTGTGGATTTAAAACTGCTGTTGTCACCAAGCTGTTTCCAACACGATCTCACACTGTTGCAGCTCAAGGAGGAGTTAATGCTGCCCTAGGAAACATGGAGCCAGATTGTTGGAACTGGCATATGTGAGATTCCTTCTGTTCATTTCCTATAGTTTTAGCATTCTCTTGATTAGGATGCTACTTATCCGTTAATTTATTTATGTAGTAAATTACATCTTAATAAGAGATAATCTTGGTATCTAATAAAGTATCTGGGTTTTACACATGTTAGTATTTATAGATATTGAAACATTTTCTGATTGTGAAATTAAGATTTAGACTGGATTCACTCACTGTACATTTTTTAAATTTTGATATAGTATAACATAAACAGTAGTCTAACATTAAAACATCTTCTTTTAAATAGAAAGGAACTTATTAATAATTACAAAATTACCGTTTCTTTTTATATTGGCTTGGGGACCATGAGGGTGATGTCATTTCTGGTCTCAGTGTTCAGGTCATCATAGTGAGGATTAATAGGGGGAAGCTTTTGTCAGTTGCAATATTTTCTAATAAAAGATGTTAGCCTATGTGTCACTGCTTCACATTAATAAATACACAAAACTCCATTCCACATGCAGAGATCAAATTTGTGAACTTTTGAGTTGAGGTATTTACAGTACCCCTATGCAGGTAACGCCAGCTACCTGCATTATTTTAATAATAATAATAATAATAATAATAATAATAATTATTATTATTATTATTATTATTATTATTATTATTATATTTTATGTACAAAGCCAAGAATTTATTCAAAAAGGCATGAATCTCGAAAAACCATATTTTACAACTGAGATAAGTCAATGTACTTATTTAAGTTCTATTAACAAGTAAACAAATATTACTCAAATAATCAAAATCTAAATACAATAAATAGTAACTATAATAATGAAACAGAACAGCGTTTTTTAAAAGAATATAATAACGAAATACATACAGAAATATTAATAAAGAAATACAGTAGGGAAAATTTAAAAAATAAAGTCAATTAGTTGTAATAAAAGATATTATGTTATTATTATTGTATGTTATAATAATAATTATTATTATTATTATTATTATTATTATTATTATTATTATTATTATTATTATTATTATTATTATTATTATTATTATTGTCTTGATTGGCCACATTGGACCACTTGAGTCGTTCCACTTCACTTATACTGTTCATGGTCGACTGTCGAAGGTATCACCTTGAGGTGAGGATAAATCCTCGAGTTACAATTCTGAATGTTATTCAGAAAGGTGATAATGAGAGATGGAGGATGATGTTATGAGATAGGTGAAGGGACAATCACAAATACACAACCATGCCCGAGGTGGGACTCGAACCCGCGATCCTTCGGTCCGTGATCGCTACGGCACTACTGCCTTAGCGATCTCGGCCACCGGATCGGCGTATGTTATAATAATATACTTTATGTAAATAAAATACTTTATATTTATAAAACATTTTTGTAAATTGAAGATTTTATTTATTTGTTACATTTGTTATCTATTAAAGCCTCATGAAGGTCAGCATAAATACTGCAACAAAAAGGCAAAAAAGAAAGAAAAGGTTTTGGGTTCTTGGTAAACAGGTAATGAGCAAGTTTCCTTTGAAGTTGTTTCCTTCCTGGAATGTGAAGTTTGTGCAAAATAATAAATACTGATTTGAATTTTTAATTTGCAAAAGAAGTAGATCTCAAAATAATTTGATGTATTGTAAACTTATCAAATGAGAATAACAATATTATACTATTTATTGATTTTTACTTCATTTTTCAGGTATGATACTGTGAAAGGTTCAGATTGGTTGGGTGATCAGGATGCAATTCATTATATGGCTCGAGAAGCACCCCAAGCTATTATTGAATTGGAGAATTTTGGTAAAGCTACACAAATTACTTTTCACTTTTAAGAGAATTATTATGGCTATAATGTGTTATGAAAGAAAAATTGTGAATTTATTAATTATAGAAAGATAGTAGTAATTACTAATTAAACTAGATTATTACTACTAATTATAGTAGAATTAAATAAAAATATGGTGATGAATTTAGTAAGAAATGAGGGCAAGGAATGAGTTTTCATTTTTTTAAAGTCTACAATTAGAAATTATTTTCAGAATTGATTAATCATTCATTAGTTATATAACATGAAAGCTGTAAATAATTCATAATTTTAGTCTTTAAAAGTGAAAATTAATTATCACTCATATTTTATAATCATTTAAACCAAGCACTTCAAAAATTATGTAATGAAAATTTAAAAATATATTGTTTATAATGTAATAGTGTTTATCATAATAATCATGTATAAAGTCATAGTTATTGTTCTCATTTTGCATGCTCAAGGCTGGGATTCAATTCCCTTTAGTGGGAAAAAAATCATAGCTTCTGCAAAACTGAGTCAGTTTCTACTTGGTGAAAGAGGTGAAATAGGAAGCTACTGAGAATATGGATGATCCTTATATTGGCATTTGTGTAAGATGATATTTCTGGGATTGGTTGTTACTTTGGCACTCTGGTTGAGGACAATAATGGCAAACCACTCCTTCCAAATTGCCTTGTAAATCTCATTAATCCCATCTCTAATAGAGCATTGAAGATCCTTTGAGGTGATGGCTAAGCAGGCAGTTTATAGTGATTGAATATAGCAGTGGAAGGAGAAAGGAAAATTGGAGATGTTCCTCCTTTTAGAAGTACTTGTGGAATAAATATATTTGAGAAATGAAATATTGAAGAATGAAACTAATAAACATAGTCACAGAGAGATCCTAGTTAATTTGTAATACAATATGGCAAATATGAAATTGAGGATATGTTTTTATTGCTGTTCTCTATACTATCTCTCTAGTAATGCACCAAAAATTATTCTCATTCAATTATAGCTTTCCTTTTAATAAATTATGCTTTTTAAGGAAGGGGAAAAAGTAGAAGAAAGGAAATAACAACAACCTCTCTTCAGATACGATTTCTGCAAGTCAGATCCTATTTCTCATACAGTTCAAAGTTAATAATAAAAAATTGGTGGTCATTGGTTTGTAGCAAAAGCTTGCCATGTATTGAACAAACATGTTAAATATAAGCCAGTTTGAATAAATTGAGAAATATAATTGAGTTATGCAATTCGGTTTATGACACAAAGCAAATACATTTGCCCTTTTGCAATACATTTCTGAAACTTAAGAAAACCATTCTTAGATCTTGTTTTTCTAGACATCTTGTGTTAATAATGAAGAAAATGAGACTATTCATGGCCTTGTTAGTAACTGTAGGCCTTGCAGGTAGGTAGAGTTCTCTCACAATTTTATCCCTTTATCTGAATGATATACAAAGATTCTCGTTCATATTCATTATTCATATCATTAGTAAATGGTAATGATACATGATTAGGTTATTGCTAACTGTTTCCCTCCAATGTGACCTCTCAAGAAGAAGGCTAAATAGTAAGCTAACACGTTCACTTCTGCTTTGTGAGGTCTTATCCAGAATCATTAACCTTCTTTTTGTTATCAGTACTATAATTAGTTTTTAAAGAAAGGATGGCCAAATTTATTGCTCAGTTTTATAATTTATAAAATGTGTATTAAAATACTTATATATACTGTATATTAATATATTTTGTAGTATTTACATATTTATAAACTAATAAAAATATTTAAAAATTAATTTGGAGCCCTACCCAGCAGAGAATATATGTACTTGGTCTGCTTATCCACATCTGGCCTTGGGCTGCAAAGTAAATATCAAGTTGATCAGATATAGCTGATCAAGGGATAAATCCATCTTTTTGATCTTCAATAATTATTTCTTCAGGAATGCCATTCAGTAGAACAAAAGAAGGGAAAATATATCAAAGAGCTTTTGGAGGTCAAACTCTGGATTTGGGAAAAGGGGGACAAGCTCACAGGTTTGTTTCATGATCATAGAGTTGGAATTTAATTACAGAGAAAAAAAGGTTTTAAGTAACTTATATTTTTCAGAACTTGTGCAGTTGCGGATAGGACTGGCCATAGTTTATTGCACACAATGTACGGACAAGCCTTGCGCTTTAAGTGCCGCTTTTTTCCAGAATATTTTGCACTTGATTTACTTATGGAGAATGAGCAATGCAAAGGAGTCATTGCCTTTTGTCTTGAAGATGGTTCAATCCACAAATTTAATGCGAAAAATACAGTATGTATGTTAACATTCTTAAGGGGAGTATTAGGATAATAAGTGTTACATTCTTTTTTATTTAAGCAAATCCATTTTTCATATTGAAGATAGTTTGCACTGGTGGAAGTGAAAGAGTGTATATGACTACGACTGCAGCCATCTCCTGTACAGGTGATGGTATGGGGATGGTTTCTCGAGCATGTCTTCCTCTTCAAGACATGGAATTTGTTCAGTTCCATCCTACAGGTAGGCAAATTAGATTGCAAAAAGGTTCATTTGCATGGTGTAACTGGATTTTATTTGAATGTAGGTGTATATCGTGTCGGTTGTCTCATTACTGAGGGATCTCGAGGTGAAGGTGGTTTTCTAGTTAATAGCCAAGGTGAACGATTTATGGAAAAGTACGCACCTCAAGCTAAAGATTTGGCATCAAGAGATGTAGTGTCTCGATCAATGGCCTTGGAGATTTTGGAAGGAAGGTAAATATTCTTTATTGAGGTGGATTAATAATGTAAAATTTTATAATTATCAGATAATATTTTATTTGTTATGAAAATATTTTTTTCATTTTAATACCTTGGACATTTTTGTAATTTCAGTATGTGAAACTTATCCTGTAAAAACATTTTAATTGATTGATCCTTTTTCATTTGTTGTTAACTTATCAGTCATGAGATCATATTAAAACAGAAATACCATCAAAGAATGTGTAAATTGATGAATAAATTAGTGAATGCTTATCCCAATATGTATATAGAATCCCATAGAAATATGTATATTATAATTCTTCTTGCTGAAGTCTTACCATCTTACTTCATGTGGGACTCTGTGTAATGCAGTAAATTATTATCTTTGCAGAGGAGTTGGCCCAGACAAAGACTATATACATTTACAACTCCATCACTTGCCAAGAGATGTAATAGAAACTAAATTGCCTGGAATATCAGAGAGCGCCAAAATATTTGCTGGTGTAGATGTTCATAAAGAGCCTATTCCAGTGGTGCCTACTGTTCATTATAACATGGGAGGAATTCCTACTAATTACAAGGGGCAGGTAAAGCGAATATTGTGTCAAAGTTAAGTACAGGTTTGCTCAAAGTGTCTTCTTCAAAACATAAACAACAGTTGAAAATACGTGTAACATAATACGTAGGCCCCATATATCTATTTGTAATTTTCTTCGAAATTGACCATGTACTTGTGTACTAAATGTGCTCTTCTAGGTTCTGACTCAGAAATGTGAAGAAGATGCAGTAGTTCCTGGTCTCTATGCTGCTGGTGAGTGTGCTTGTGTATCAGTCCATGGGGCCAATAGATTGGGTGCTAACTCCCTTTTAGAACTTGTTATATTTGGTCGTTCTTGTGCTCTTACTATCAAAGAATCATGTAAACCAGGAGATGAAATTCCACCTCTTTCTCCTGTGAGTGAATTTGAAGAAGTTTTCTCTTTATACACTATCTTGATATAAAAAACAAACAATAATTAAATAATCTGAACATCTTTATTTACAAACTTCAGAAAGCTGGGGAAGCTTCTATTGCCAATTTGGATTGGATTCGTAATGCACATGGTTGCACTTCTCTCTTCCAAATACGTTCAGAAATGCAGAAGGCAATGACAAAATATGCTGGAATATTTAGAAATAAGGATCTTCTAGAAAAAGGATGCTGTGAACTGCTTGAAATTTATAAAAAGTTGGATGATCTGAAGGTTTGAAAGATCAAGAAAAATTTTTATAACATTTTTAATTGATTGTGCTGATTGCAATATGTATAATTTATTTTGTTTACTTTAGGTGACTGATCGTTCATTGATTTGGAATACTGAACTAATTGAAGCTTTGGAATTACAAAACATGCTGGGAAATGCAACACAAATTATTTTTAGTGCTTCAAACCGAAAGGAGTCCCGAGGAGCTCATTTCAGAGATGATTACAAAGTTGAAACATAATCTCTTAGGAAATTACAATGAATATCATTTCATTTTTTGTTTGTAGGTGTTTTTAAACATTTCTTCTTTTCAGGTTCGTTGTGATGAATATGACTATTCACAACCTACACAGTCACAGACAAAGAGGGCTTTTGAGGATCATTGGAGGAAACATACTTTGTCTTGGGTAGATGAAAAAACTGGCGAAGTAAGAAGTGTTAAATATTAGTATTAGTTTACTAACATTAATTCATCTGTTTATATTATTGTATCTGAACTTTAAAGTGTGTTCTGAAATTTTGTACTAGTAGGCTACATTATAAATGACTGAATTGTTGCATATTACTTTCAATTTTGTTATTCAATTATTTATTTTTGTTCACAGGTGGATATCAAATATCGTGCAGTAATTGATGAAACTTTAGATTCAGATGAGCAACATACTATTCCTCCGATGATTAGAAAGTATTAAATACCTCCAATTATTCAAAAGTATTAAATAATTATAATTATACAAAATTGAAGCTTGGTTAAAATTTGCTTAATATGTCTATGACTTCTACAAATTTGAATTTCAACTGGTGAATGCACACTTGTAGTTTGTATTATTTCTAATTATGTAATTATTGGATTGTGTATCAGTTTTCTTCTTTAGAAATACACTTAATTTGAAATATATCTTTGTACTAAATTTTGGTAAATGTAATGTAGTATGGAATATTGGAATACTATTGTGCTATTGGCATGAGACTTGTGTGTGATCAAGGGTCAAAGGGCATATTTCTTTATTCGACGCCATCGCTCTAGTGTAAACATCCAGGCGCCATATATCACGGACAATAAGTCTTTAGAAGAAGCGGGGCCAATCTAGAAGAGGAACGTCACAAGTGGTCAGAAGTCTGACATGAATCCCCCGTTTGTTAAGTATTGAACTTCGGAAATGTGGTATTTCATAGTTTTTGAATTTATTGGTGTCATGGAATATGGAAATAACGATTACAACAAGCACTTCAGCAGGTAATATGGATTATCAGTATCGTAAATTCTATTTTTATTTCGTAGAAGCAAGCACTTCTTACGATTTTCATTTACGATTGAAGGATAATGGGTCATTCACAAACTCTTTCAGTTCGATCAGGGGTTACTCCTCAAAACCTACGCCTACCTATATATTGTATTTGCTGTAGGTAAATAAATACGATACATCGCCGTTTTATAGCTATTCAAATGATTAAGACCCGACGGCCTCATTTGATCATTAGACGATTTCTTTCCAATTATAATGGCGATAGAGACAGACGTCATTACAGGCATACCAATATTTGAAATATTGCATTGACAATCAGGCTGATGGAATTCCAGGTCTGGGTAGGACAAGTTCTTAGATGTACACACGGAGTTAAGATGCACATACTGTGCGTATAAAACATAATTCTTTCCGCGTAAATTATTATTGCTGAAGGAACTTCGTCAATCTCAGTGTTGCCAAACTCTGTGGGCACAGGGCCAGTACAGGTCAGCCCCACGATTCTCTCTTCTCGGCAAGTGTGATTCCACCTTACGTACTGGCAGTAAGATGAGTTGTATAATAAAATTGCACTCGATTTTGGCGAAAAATGTGTCTTCGACGGCATTAGTAAGTTGTTAACATTATAACGATTGTATCTGTAAAGTTAGTCAATTAAAAAAAAAATTATTGGATGACATTCAATGTGAACAAATTTCTTACGTTACATAACTTTTAAATAGTACCTGGAAGGTTTTTGAAAACAGAAATTGGATGAATTACTTCGCTGAAACATCTTAAAAAAAATAACCATCAGGAGTGTAAACTGCATATAATAAGATATTTCGCCATTTAACAGCACGTAAACCAAGATTTGTTTTGGATTTACCTTATCCTTATGTCTTTGCAGAATAACATTGGCCGAACATGTCTTGCCAGCCGTAAGATCCATTTCACTGTTGACGGGAAGCAAAGTGAAGCGAAAGTATCATCGGTAAGACAAATCTCTTAAGTCTGTTTCTTATGCCCTGAGAACAAAATGAAATTGTCATAGAATTATTTTCCAGATATCAAGAGATTACCCTGTAGTTGACCATAATTATGATGCAGTTGTTGTGGGAGCTGGTGGGGCAGGTTTACGTGCAGCGTTTGGGCTTGTTGCAGAAGGTTTTAGCACAGCTGTCATCACAAAACTTTTTCCGACACGCTCACATACAGTAGCAGCTCAAGGAGGAATTAATGCTGCACTTGGTAACATGGAAGAGGATAATTGGCAATGGCATATGTGAGTGTTTTCCTATTCTATTAAGATTATTGAACTCCCCAATTATATTCTTATTGTTTAATTATATAATTAATTTCTTTGTTTGTTAGGTATGATACTGTAAAAGGTTCTGATTGGTTGGGTGATCAAGATGCGATTCATTACATGACTCGAGAAGCTCCCAAAGCTGTTATTGAATTGGAGAATTATGGTAAAAACAATCTATCATTCTTATCTTATTTTTTATGCATGTTATTCACCTGGACATTGGAGAATGGTATTATTCTTCAATTTAATACCAACAATGGTTTCAATTAGGTATGCCATTTAGCCGCACCCAAGATGGGAAGATTTATCAACGAGCCTTTGGTGGTCAGTCTTTGAAATTTGGAAAAGGTGGGCAGGCCCATAGATGTTGTTGTGTTGCTGACCGAACAGGCCACTCTCTTTTGCATACATTGTATGGCCAGTCCTTAAGATATGATTGTAACTACTTCGTTGAATATTTCGCTCTGGACCTTCTTATGGAAGATGGTGAATGTCGAGGAGTAATTGCTCTTTGCTTGGAAGATGGTAGCATCCATAGGTTTAGAGCAAAAAATACTGTGTGTATTGTTTTTCTAATGGAATCTAGGATGTTGATAAAAGCAAAGGAATATTTTTAGTTTTTTTTTTTATCTTAGGTATTGGCTACTGGCGGTTATGGACGAGCATATTTCTCTTGCACTTCTGCTCATACTTGCACTGGTGATGGCACTGCAATGATATCAAGAGCTGGCTTACCAAACCAGGATTTAGAGTTTGTACAGTTCCATCCAACTGGTGAGCATTTTAAAAAGATCAAATATTTTAATAACTTATCTGACACATTAATTTGTGTCTTATTGGTTATGTTATCTGCAACATGTGATATCACTTTAATTTTTGTATCTTGTAAGATATGTTATAATGAGCTATGTATAAATAACTGAAAGGTTTTTATATCTTCATAAACATTTGTAATTAGAACATCCTTGAGCTTTATCTTCAATTTTGAAATTGTGTAGTGCCATGAACTTAGTGTGTGTTTTAGTTAAAAGTTAAGGAGTGAGAGTGAGCACTTAAGTTTCTACAAACCCCACTTTTTCTAGGAATTTATGGTGCTGGCTGTCTCATAACTGAAGGGTGTCGAGGTGAAGGAGGTTACCTTATTAATAGTGAAGGAGAAAGATTTATGGAACGTTATGCCCCTGTTGCAAAGGACTTGGCTTCCCGAGATGTTGTGTCCAGGTCAATGACAATTGAAATTAGAGAAGGAAGGTAGGTGAAAGATGGTTTATGTTCTTGTAAATTAGAATTAGTTTCCAAAAAATGTGATTTCTTCAAAGCATTACAAAAAGCAGGAATAGGAAACTAACTTTGCATCAAGAAATATTGTGCATTTACAAACACATTTTGTTAAATGACTACGATACAGGTGTATTTTAACTTTTAGATTTAAAGCTAATAAATGAAAATTGTGTTGAGAGAAAAATTTATTTTTGTAGAGAACAATTTATTTTTTGCAATCGAGAGGGAAAAAATACATTGAAAAAAATTCATCTCAAGTAAAAGCTCTGTCAAAAAATTAAGTTTTGTAATTAAGAGTCGAAATAGTTAATTTGGTATTCAGAATTAAATTCAACTAATTCAGTTCAAAGTGCCTTCTGTTTTGCAAAATGACTTGCATTTGATGTCAGAATATTAGAGAGATCCAACTTACATCTGTTAGGAAATTGTAGTCGTGAATTTGATAATTTTCAGTTTTGTCCTTCATGGAATCAAATTTGTTTCATGTTTCATAACCCTTAACTAAGTGGTGCTACAACACCATATACATTCTTGTATTGTTTGTAACTTTGGCAATTTTTGATAATTCAGATTTCATGGAAAATGAGACCTGCACAATTTTTCAAGTTTCCTTTACTCTATCGGAGGAAAAAGTGTAATTAACAAAATTGAATTAAATTAATTTGTTTTGTAATGGAATTCAGTATTTTGTAAATTTTTTCTCTGTAGTTTATTGGTCTATTATTAAATTGCACAAGATTTGATACTGATAAGTAAAGTTCCCAAGTGATTCTTCAGTGAAATATATTTTGTATATTTCTTCGACCTTATAGTTCATTGCTGATAGCTCTTGATTTCTTGATAAAATTATTCTAAATTTGGGGGAAAGTCAAGGAAAGGAAGATATTTATTGTGTGGTTATTAAAATTTAAACTAGTGTCACCACAGCACATACTTTATTGCCTCACCAACTGTTGTGGAAAATTAAAATACTACCGTGTCTGTTTGTACACATTTCAGCTATAGTTTGTAAACTCGTTACCAACCACATCTCATAAGGCAGGGAAACTTAAACTTCATTGAAAATAAAAATCGTTATCACCAATATTGTAATTTAGGAACATTAACATTTTGCAATTTTGAAATTACAGAGCACTCACCGAAAATAAGACCAGCACCATTTTCCACTGTCTTCACTGTCATTAAGTTAAATGTTGTTTAGATTTTTTGTCCAGATTTATTTTAGACCGGTATATATGTTGGAAACCAAAAACACATTAATCAAAAATCGTAGTTTAAATTGAAATTTTATTAATTGATTAAATTAGGTTGAAATAAAAATTCTATCTAAATTACTTTTTTTGGTTAATTTCTTTTTAGTTTTCAATATGTTATCACTGTTTAAAATAAATTGGACCAAAAAATGTTTACAAAAAAAAGCACCACTTTCTTTACCGTTCTTTGCAGCATATTGGAACCCTTGGAGCTTTTTTTGAGAAAATAAAAATAAGTGGCCTATGTTTCATGCAAAACTACTCATTTTTGAAAAAATCAAACATTATATTACTTCAAGATAGTTTTTTGATGAACAGATTTTATTATGGGAAAAATTTATCTTCATTATTGTAGTTGAAGGAAGATGTATGTCATTTCTTTAAACCTTTTTTGGGTCTATCAGAGGAAAAATTGAAGCAATTTTTGAGAAAATTTTGAAAATGTTGAGGCTTAATGTAAAGTACCCTCAACAATTCAAAATATCCATTTCAAATTTAAGGGGCCATGACGTCAGTGAGAGAATATCAACTTTAGTGAAAATCCTCCTTATGGTTTAGGTGCTAGAATAGTTCTGACAGACTGACAGACATTTTGCCGCCAATCGATTTTTCAGTCTCAAGGACCCACCAATCTTGAATTCTGATTACAAAACATATTAGAGGAAGTAATTTACTACACACAGTTATAGGGTTTTTCCATTTTTTTGTTCCCAGAACTCAAATAAGAGTTTGCTTGAAAAACCTGTTTCCCCCGCAGTAATATAATTCTTCAATAATGCATTAGCAGTTGGTGAGAAGGTAAAAATAATAGTTTTGTCTTTTGAGTTGTACTCTGTACAAGAAAACCTCTCCATTCTTAAAATTTATGAAAAAATGGTTCGCAAATCAGAGGGATGTAGTTAATAGAAATAAGGATAAAACTTACCACAGAGATTTGGTCGAAGCCTAATGTTTAAATAGAATGAAGTCACTGCTATTGTATTTTCATGAAACGATAATTAAGTGTCAAACCTCGATTTTAAACAGACAAATTCCCACATTTTCTTCAGATTCAACCTCATTTATTATTAGAGATGCTGAATATTCCGTTAAGGGTGTGAAACAAGATAATTTTTTGTAAGAAGGCTATATATCTTTTTAACTATTGTGACTTCTGATCTTTGATCAGCTGGACACTGTATTCTAATTGAGAGCTATGTTACTATCTATTTTTGGTTTTGAAGTTCCCGGCTGGATAACCTGAAAACAGCTGATCGAACATTAGAAGTCACCCTATAATTCACGATAATTAAACTGTAGAATAATTACTGTGGTATTGCTATATAAGACAATTGCAAGGCCGTCCGTTCGGGAAGATAAAACTCAGAAATCATGTTCGTGATTTTGGATCACTTAAAAATATGCTCGTATGAAAATATGTGTACAAGGAGGGATTTTATATTCTTTCCTGTTTGGTTATGCGCCTTCCACGTGTCCGGTTGGTCTTAGATTAATACATTTTTTGTTGGCTTAGTTATTCTTTGAAATAGGTTCTTAATCTCAGGGAATTTTATTCTTATCATGCAGACTTGAAAATTACCGCTCGAAGAAGCCTCGGTTGGTATCTTTAGCATTGGGGGATTTTTGATGGTATCTAATTCTTACCAAAATGACAAACATTATTGATTTTTTTAGCAACAATTCTCTATTACTCATTTATTCTTAGACTTCTGTGTCGGAATCTCGAAGACCAAAAAAATACAACATATGATATAACCCCAACAAAATACTATTTACACTAAATTATCAATACAAATGTCTATATTCATTCGTCAAACGCCCAGATTTGTCTACTGACTGAAAGCTAATGGTCATTGTTGTATTTGTTTTGTGTATATAATTTTAGCAGATATTTGGTCTTGTACATTCCTAATCTGTCTTGTTTTGAAATTTCCTCTTTCCTTTCAATGGGTTTTGCCTCCTGCATGACCGACAAATTGTCCTGGTCCACCAACAACCTTTTGTCATAGGCTCCGTCTATTATCCAGTGTACTATCGTTCTGTACACTAGAAAATAGATATAATTTCTAAGCGTTAGCTTTCGAATTTAAATTTCATAAATGTTTCTCTTTTATCCAAAAAATAACTTTACGTGTGTAACGTTAAATTCCAAAAATTATCAATGTAGCACGAAGCTCATTGGACATCCCTGAACTGCTTCGCTATCTTCTCTTCTGTTGTAACAGTAACAATCACTCGAATGTCCACTCGAATGCCACGTCACCGGCATAGGTAGCTCGCGGTAACCATTAATGCCACTCAGTGCATTTGACCGGGAGGTCCGAGTGTTCGAATCCCGACGATTGCAGGATTTTAGTCATTACCAAGATAGCTAGGTCAAATTCAGCCGCTGTCTGACGGAGAATTCTGGTGGCCGGTTGCTCTGGTTGGTAGTTTTCCATGGTTTCTCCGATCAATATTGGGCTAATGCCGGAGCAGTACCTTTACAAACGGGCCACGCACAGTATGGGGTATGATGTGATTGTACCGTTACGAGTATCAGTAAGATATTTTAAATTTTGGAGTGGTTCTTTATATAAAGCCCCTGCGACATTTCAAAAATTTTATGAAAAATAACAGCAATTGCTTTCTTTATTTTCTTGTGATATGAGAAAGTGCAGTTATATAAATACCAGTTTCGATTTTTATTGAAACCTATGAAATTTGAAAATTTCTCCTGTCAGATATTATTCTGAAGTCACGCTATATATTATATACTACACCGAATAACCCCTAATGCTGACAAAGAACAGGTCCATAATGGCTTGTTTTTCGGAATGCTTACTCGACATTTTTTCATGTCGCGTGACTTATTACGTGTCACATCTAATTCTCGTATTTATGAGAAGATACATTGTGAATGATTAGAGCAAGGACGCCAATTTCAAGCGATGATTGGTAAGCAAGACTGATGCAATAACAAACGAGAGTGACGCCCCAGCAGCAAATATTTCATTCATCCTCATAGAGCTATCTCAGTAAATCAGGCAGTTTTGGCATTGAAATATTGTAAGAATTGAATGGGAACCTTTTTATTCAGCTCATAAACGACTGGAAACGATGAATTCGTTTAATATTATAGGAAACATATAAAAACAATTATATTTCAAAAATACGAAAGTGTTATATTTTCATTCCGCGAACATATCCAAGTTATCCTCTAACATTACGGGGAAGCACTCTCCGTCAGTCTGTAGACAACACTAGAGCCTAAAACGTTCATAAGATTTTCTCCAAAATGGATGTTCCCGAATAGATCTAGCCGAATTCAAAATCCTTAGAATTTCAAACGAATCTTTAAATTCATGGTAGTACTTTGCCCTAGGCCTCTAAATTTTCAACATTTTCTCAAAAATAGCGTCAAGAGTACCTAGAAAAATGGAGTGGGTATGCTTTTGTTTTAAAACCAGAGTTTTCGAAAATGGCCGAAGTACTTTTTTTAATCTTCTTACAACAGCATTGTTGAAGATATATTTTCCTAGTGAAATCTGTTCTTCGCACTTGAAGTGTACAATAATATTAAAATATTGATGAGCGGCGATGTGTACTGCGACATGTATATTCTCATTATGCAACATGCTCACGATGATGTGGCATTAGGGAAATTTAGCACACACTGTTCGTCTTTTATTTCGACCACGATGAAATAGTAGTTTATGCAATTAATTTATACGCTAT